TACCTGGCTTAATTTCGTCTTTAATTCGAATGCCATGTGGCGGTATGACACTGTTCCTTTTCACACTTACCAGCTGACCACTTACCACCGTGTGGACGGTTTTTTCACTGTTATCAGTGTGTTCAGTGGCTCACTGCATACAGTATGTCAGCTGTTTTGAAATGCAGAGTTCAGTTAACTGCGATGATGGAGTTTGAGTCCAGCAAAGAACAGTTCCAAAAAGTAGGTAAGACAAAAAAAAAAAAAAATTTAATTAACAAGTAGATAACAAGGTGAGATTGTGGTAAAATCTGAAAACGTAGTAAAAATCAGACAAATGCTTTTATCTGTATGTATGTATGTATGTATGTATGTATGTATGTATGTATGTGTGTGTGTGTGTGTGTGTGTGTGTGTTTGTGTGTGTATATATATATATATATATATATATATATATATATATATATATATATATATACACACACACACACACACACACACACACACATATATATATATATATATATATATATATATATATATATATATATATATATATATATATATATATATAAGTATATATTTATATATATATATATATATATACATACATACATATATACATACATATATATATATATATACATACATATATATATATATATATATATATATATATATATATATATATATATATATACACACACACACACACACACACACACACACACACACACATACATACATACATACATACATACATACATACATACATACAGATAAAAGCATTTGTCTGATTTTTACTACGTTTTCAGATTTTACCACAATCTCACCTTGTTATTTACTTGTTAATTAAATTTTTTTTTTTTTTTGTCTTACCTACTTTTTGGAACTGTTCTTTGCTGGACTCAAACTCCATCATCGCAGTTAACTGAACTCTGCATTTCAAAACAGCTGACATACTGTATGCAGTGAGCCACTGAACACACTGATAACAGTGAAAAAACCGTCCACACGGTGGTAAGTGGTCAGCTGGTAAGTGTGAAAAGGAACAGTGTCATACCGCCACATGGCATTCGTTTTAAAGACGAAATTAAGCCATGTAGCCCTCTGGCTACATAATTTGTGATCTCCTGAAATGTATATAGGGGTATATTTTCAGAATGAGCCTATTGTTTTATTTGGTTCAGAATAGATTGTCCCGTTTTTTTCCACAATCATTCACAGTTCTGACATTTTAGTTTTAAAGATTAGACATTGCATGTTTTGGTACAGTTGTGGGTAAAAAAGTTGAAAGCTCACAGATTTAAAAGTCACATTCCTCTCTATTTATCTGCTTGTTAAAATAATTAAAGGCAGTTTCTAGTCACGCAAGTGGCTTTACAAGTCGCTCTCACACCAGAAACTCATTATCATTTCTGTTTTTGAGCTGTGCAGGAAGCAGCCTAGCTTTAATGACACTTTTAAACTTGATTTTCAGGTTGTATTCAGGAGTTGTAAGTGAAAGGAAATGTAAAAACTATCTGTAAAGTTGAAATGTGCTTTATCTGCATCTTTTTAATCTGACACTTTTGACATGGGTATTTAACATGTAACTTCATTATCTCCTACAGTACATCTTAAAACATAAAAAAATAATAATAATAACATTTTACTTTTATTTTGGGGTTTTATTTACACCCTCATGATGTTTCAGTGTAAACACAACCTCCTTCCATGGAACGCTGAATTAAAAGTTAGCATTAATACGCTGGTTTTGCAGTTTCATGGCAAATAATTTCTGAACTCTTTCAGATCTGAAAAAAGAGATTAATTACTGAACTTAAAAGTTGCCTTACATTAACAAGTTGACTTTACACTGCCAAATATAAATGTTTCTAGTCTAAATATCTGAAAAAGTTAAATTAAGAAGCATTTTATAGGCAACTGAAATATGTTTTATTTTAAATTACTTTTTTATATAAGTAAAATATTCTGCTTGTGAAGCCAATAAAACAATCTTCAAACTGAAAACAATATTATTTGACTTACCCCATCAGCAGATTATTCAGCTTTTTATTAAGAAAAAAATATTTTGCCTTATTATTTCTGAAAGCAAAACAATATATTTTAAAAGCTTCTTGTATATAAGATATTAAAGTTATTAAAATAAGACTAAAAAGTAGGTAAGAAAAAAAAATATGTATGTATACACACACACACACTTTTTTTTCTAGTGAAGTAAGCCCATTTTAACTTGGAACTGTTAATTTGACTTAATCTTATAATTAAGTACACAGTTCATTTACGTAATTTTTAAGCCAGCAAGCTGACTCACATTTTTTAAAGTCACTATTAAAGTCAACTAATTGCTTTAAGAAAGCAAACCCTCCCACATGAAAATTATACTATAGCAATTATTAGGTTTAGGTTTAGGGGTAGGGCTCACAATGTTTGGATTACATTTATGAACAGGTTCTGGATGAAAAAAAGATGTTAATCCTGGATGGCATCCCAGGCAAAAAAAAAAAAAAAAAAAAGGACTTGCCCTGTAGCTTTTGTATGTTACGAATTATAAATATGTGTGCATCAATACTGTGTTTTTACTGCATTTTCTGAATTTTATTTGGTATTATAATTTTAGGTATTACAGCAGGACTGCCCGGTTTGCCAGATGGCCAGTCCACCCCTGCCTCTGAATGTATTATTTTTGAAACTGATCTGGCTTCATATTTTTGAGACTAGACATTTTTGAGACATACAGTTAAAACCAGAAGTTTACATATGCTGTATAAAAAGGCACATAACCATTAAAAAAAGTCAGATGTTACTGTGACTAAACTTTTTCTCTTTTAGGCAAATTAGGATTCTCAAATGTGTTTCTGTTCTGCTTAATAGCAGAATAATGAGAGGGTTATTTATTGAGAAATTGTTATGACTTTTCTTGAAAGTCAAGTTTACCTACAATTAGTATATTCTGCCTCTGAATAAGCTCAGATGATGATGTCAAGGTTTTGGAAGTTTCTGATTGGCTAATTGACAACATTTGATTTAATTGGAGGCACAGCTGTAGAATAGTATTGAAGGAAAACCTCAAACACACTGCTTCCTTGTGTGACAACATGGGAAAATCAACAAGCCAGAATACAATTTGCTAAATTACATTAATAATAATTTTTGGAGACATGTCCTGTGGTCTGATGGAACTAAGACTGAACTGTTTGGCAATAATGACCAGTGTTACACTTTGAGGACAAAGGGGAAAGCTTACAAGCCTAGGAACACCATCCCAACTGTGAAGTATGGGGGTGGCAGCATCATGTTGTGGGGCTGTTTTGCTGCAGGAGGGACTGGTCCACTTCACAGCATAGATGGCATCATGAAGAAAGAACATTGTGTAGAAATACTGAAGCAACATCTCAAGACATCAGCCAGGAAATTAAAACTTGGCCACAAATGGGTCTTCCAAACAGACCATGACCCTAAGCATACTGCCAAATTAGTTAAAATGTGCTTTAAGGACAACAGAGTGAATGTTTTGGAGTGGCCATCACAAAGCCCTGATGTCAGTCCTGTAGAAAACTTGTGGCCAGATTTGAAAAAGCTTGTGCGAGCAAGACAGCCAACAAATCTGAATGGGCCAAAATTTCTGCAAACTATTGTGAGCAGCTTGTGGAAGGATACCCAAAACATTTGACCAAAGTTATACAGTTTAAAAGCAAAGCTAACAAATACCAAAAAAATGTGTGTAAACTTTTGACTGTCTAGAAATTAATAAAAAATTCTCATTATTCTGGCATTTAGCAAATGTAAATCATTTAGGTAATCCTAACAGACCTAAAATAGTAAACGTTTAGTATTATTTACCATCAGACATTTTAAAAAAATGATTATGTTCCTTTTTTTGGAGTGTATGTAAACTTCTGGTTTCAATTGTACTTGTGTTAAAAGAAACAACATATCTGTGCACAAATACTCATGTAGCTCAAGCTTCGGTTTCTACTAACATGTAATCAGTACAAAAATTGTAATGCTGACAAAAATGCCAAATACCCAAGTTTTAGCATGTCCTGTGGACATCCACATGAGAAAAACAGATGTCTTTATGTGATACACCCTGTAACTGCCTGTGTGTATGTGTTTACAGCGAGCGACAGATCTCAAACAATGACCAGAATGCTCACTGATTACAATGCAGGAGTTCAAAGAAATGCTTGTTATTTGAGAACTGCCAAATAACACAGTCAGTCTTTGTCGAAATATAGTGGAACAGGAGACCCCCGCTGAATATTCAAGTTAAACAAGCCATTTTACTGATGTCATTTCTGTCTTGTTTTGTTTGCGGACTGGCATTGTCCATTTACGAGAGGATTTTATAACACTGCCAAGAGCATTTTACTACCTGATCAAGTGGACAATCTATAGCAGGTTTTTTTTTTTTTTGTCACTTTCCATTTTTCTGCATTTGAGACTTTTAGCATAAATTTAATTTTATATATATATACATATACACTCACTGGCCACTTTATTAGGTACACCTTCTAGTATTGGGTAGGACCCCATTTTACCTTCAGAACTGCCTTTATCCTCCATGGCATAGATTTAACAAGATACTGGAAATATTCCTCAGATATTTTGCTCCAATCTTCAATTGTCCAGTTTTGCTGAGCCTGTGTGAATTGTAGCCTCAGTTTCCTGTTCTTAGCTGACAGGAGCGGCACCCGGTGTGCTCTTCTGCTGCTTTAGCCCATCCGCCTCAACTTTAGATGTGTTGTGTTTTCAGAGATGCTCTTCTGCACATCCCAGTTGTAACGAGTGCTTATTTGAGTTACTGTTGCCTTTCTATCAGCTGGAACCAGTCTGGCCATTCTCCTCTGGCATCAACAAGGCGTTTGCGCCCACAGAACTGCCGCTCACTGGATATTTTCTCTTTTTCGGACCATTCTCTGTAAACCCTAGAGATGGTTGTGCATGCAAATCCCAGTAGATCAGCAGTTTCTGAAATACTCAGACCAGCCTGTCTGGCACCAACAACCATGCCACAGTCAAAGTCACTTAAATCCCCTTTTTCCTCCATTCTGATGCTCAGTTTGAACTGCAGCAGATCGCCTTGACCATGTCTACATGCCTAGATACATTGAGTTGCTACCATGGGATTGGCGGATTAGAAATTTACATTAACAAGCAGTTGGACAGGTGTACCTAATAAAGTGGCCATTGAATGTGTATGTATGTATATATATATATATATATATATATATATATATATATATATATATATATATATATATATATATATATATATATATATATATATATATATATATATAGATATATATATATATATATATATATATATATATATATATATATATATATATATATATATATATATATATATATATATATATAT